GCTGTGGGCCTAGGAAGGCATAGATGCTAGAGTTATTTGCTATGGTAGCGTGGAGACTTAGGTACTCCTGACTAGTTCAAAAATGCAGTTTTTCTCACTATATAGGAAGAAACAAATTTGCACGCAAATTCTAAAAGATAATTAACTTGGTTTCAACAGATTATCTGTATGCAATGCTTGGTCAATGCTTTACTTCTAAAGGTGATAGTGAAAGTGAGGTATGTAGGATATGTACCCGCCCTTCAATTTTAACATTTTGCCGTAAAAGACTCTAAGATCTTAAGCACCAGATTTTCAATATCACAGCTTGCTAATTTGTAAAATTTAGGTAATAACAAAGGTTCCAAGGAGAAAAAATGATGTGATAAATGAAAATTAATGTACACAAAGCATTTTGAAGAGTATTCAGCAGAAAGTAAGCTTCCTTGACACAGTTGGCATCAGATATCTTGCTTTCATGAACCTGCACCCCACTCCCCCCACACATATCATCTGGTCCAAAATTGCCTTTGATGTTATGAGAATTAACAGTTATATTTTAAGAGTGAAGGAAATTGCATCCATTGTCTAATAACAAAAGAATGGCAACTCTGATTAGTGAGGGTCCTATCACACTGGTTCCTTAAAGGTCCCACTGTGAACCAGAGCTATTTTAGTTCTCGGGGTCAGTGTTAAAGAGATGAAATTAGAAAACGAAACACTAGTGCACAAAGGGACACACCAAGGTTCAGCAGCTTGAATACTATAGAATCAGACCTTTTGAGAGAAAGACTCATAATAATAGTTTTTGAATTTAGAGAAAGAACTGACAAGTGACACTGATGTTATTATACATGAGAAAATGAGGCTTGCATTATTCAGGGATTCATTCCATTCAAATGGTGGTTAAATTGTCTGAAATCCTCTTTTATATCCTGTAAAGATCAGACACATTAAGAATGTCAAAACAACATTAGGTAAACCCATTCCAAGCATCAAAATAACTATTCAGAATATAAAAAAAGTTGTGCAGAGTTCAGGGCTGTGAAAAACACAACTAAATGTTGATGTTTAGGGATGAAAAAGACATGAGGAGTCTTGCCAACAAAAAAAAATGCCCAGAAAAAATACACTCCTTCCACAAAAGCCAGGAAAGATGATTTTAAGTTATGGAACACCACCCACATAATTGCTGTTTTAAGAAGGTGAAGCTAACTTCAATGTATGTTCATCACAGCCACATGCCTTAACAATTGCATCATGCCTGTCATTATTCCATAGTCACCAAAGTTGGATGACTCTAAAGCTCTGAGATGTTTACTCTGAGAACTTAATTGTAGTGCTACAGCTACACACTGACCCAGAAAATGCTGTGCGATTTTATGATAATGCCTGGTAATTGTCATAGCCGAAGCACTTTACCTAATTATGTGATGTGACTTAAAAAACACTCTGTTGCTCATAAATTATTTCCTCACTTGGAAATTATCAGTATTTTAGTAAAGAAAATAGCACAATATTTTGCTCCAGTTTTAATAGTACATTATAGGAAAATATGTTATCCAAAAAGAATAAGGAAAGAGAGGGAAAAAAAAAAAACAGAAGTTTCAGGATCATTATGAGTATCAGCCATGTAGAATCCAGGCATGAAATGATTCCCGACTTGATTACATACAATTAAAATGTCACTATTCAGGATTTGTTCACAGAACTCCAAATAAGGAGCCATAACTGAACTCTACAGATGAAAGGTTCTGAATAGCATCCTATGCCCCATAGGTGATGCCTTGATCACGTTTAGTTCCAGCACTCGGGAGACAGAGGTAGGCAAATCTCTGTGCATTCAAGGCCAGCCTGGTCTACAGAGCAAGTTCTAGTACAGCCAAAGCTACACAGAGAAACCTTGTTTCATTAAAATACATCCTCTAAAAGTCATAAACTGACTCCTTTACAAAATTGCTACATTTATTGAGAGGTAGAAAAGAATTTCTCTAATTTCTTGTTATTATTAAGTAGCCTTTAAATTTTGAAAATACTTGTCTATACTGAAAAATAAGAGCCATTCACACTCTGCTTTAATTAATAACTGCCATGTCTGTGGAAATATATTTTTGCACTGCACCACGAAGGACTGTTTTCATAGCCAGTATCTGCTATGCTACACTCAGCAGGAACCACACCTTCAATGGAGAATAGCCACAAACTCTATGAAAATAAAAGTTCACAATGCCTATCCTAACAAGTAGCTGCTTTTAAGGAAATAAAGCATTCTGATCTGTGTGTTTCATTTTAGAAAGAAGAATGGTTATTATGTTTCCTAATGCTCTGATCCATGGTAAGCAGAATATTCATGTCCATGTTTCAATTTGGCTAGCAATGTTGACTGGTTACAAAAACTAGTCTGCCATTAGTGACATTTTAATTGCATGTCTCCAGGGAAATATTATGATGCTCTCTGTTAATTTAGTCACAAAGTTTACAGGTTTCTATGGGTTCAAAGTACAGGTTCCAGTAAATGTGGCAAATTTATCAGTTCTGCAAAAATCACATCAGTACAGTGTACTCTATGTTAAAGGGAAAAAAACCACAGATTTAAAATATATTTAAAGTCTTGATGGCATTTTACTCTACTGTTTATGTTGGTACATAAATTATTTTTTAATTACATATATATGTGTGTGTTATAAGTCAATGATCAAGAAGTTTTTAGGTGAAATTTGACTTGACTTTCTAACAAATATTTAGTTATAAATATTTTGATTTAAGAAGAGATGTAGTCACCAATTAAGCAAAAGACTATGGTCTTTTATGCAGAAAGTTTGTCTATATTTTGAAGAAGAGATATGGATTTGGATCTCTAATGTTTTTCCTGTGGATATAAGCCAATGTCCTTATTCAAGCAATTTCAATGATTCAGTTTATTCAATTTGCTTTACTAGGAGAAAGTTTTCATTTCTGTGTGGTATTAGATTATTTATGATTTATTAAAGCTTGCTTGAGGGTTCAGAACACAAAGCAAAGCACAAGCCGTGGAGGTCAGGCAATGGTGAGACACACCATTAATTCCAGCAGCCATACTAGCAAGCCATAGAACCAGGCAGTGGTGGCACACACCATTAATCCCAGGACTCAGGAGACAGGCAGATGCAGCTCTCTGAGTTCAAGGCCACTCTGGCTTAAACAAGAGTGAAGAGTAACAGAGCTCACTCCTTTGATCCCAGGATTTGATCAAAATCAGATTCCAGATGGTAGTTGTTAGCTCTTAGTAACGGTTGAAAAGAAAGTCGGACTAAAGGAAGAAAGTAAAGTTCAGGAGCTATCACTAGTTTGGAGTGTAAAAGGCACTAATATAATAAATTTAAAATGGTGATGTAACTACAATAATTTTTATTTCAGGACAAATCATGGAGTAAAAATCTAAGAACACATTATTTGGTATTCAACAAGTCAATTATTTATTTACCTGGGCGGTATTTCTTAAATACACTGATCATACAGTTCAAAATACCAAGTCATTGTCTTTCTTCATTATTGTCTTATATCTTTATGAAATATTGTATTACTAAGCTTACATCACCCTCATGTACAAAGCAAAAATGATAAAACAGGACATTTTCTGTTCCTCGTTTATTTTGTTCATTCAATCATTCATTTAAATAATAAATGCTATTTTTCTATATTCTTCCCAAAAATACATTGTCATATTTCAATAGAAAGCTGTTTAAAAGGGTATTCCAAATCATAAAACTACCTCCCTGTAGCAGCAAAAGTTAAGGTTTTGAAATTAAAAGGCAACTATTTAAAAATAGTTTTCAGATATCAGGATGTAGTAATTCCCATCAAGATGTTTCTCTTCACTGTTACCTCTTAACAGACCTCCTCTGGCCTTGGCACAATCCTCACAATGATTGTTATGGGCGATAAATTAGTTTCAGCTCCAAAGCAAAACATCATATAAGTTCAAATCAGTGCAGCTGGGAACTGACTGACCCATGATTTGGTAAGTTTCTTAAGTTGACAAATAGTAATGAGGAGAGAGACTTGTATCTGATGGTAGGAGAAAAATATTCTTTTGTGGGACATCAAAAACAAAACAAAGCAAAACCATGCCATCTTTAAGTCAGAAGAGGAAAGGGAAAAGGCCATGCTGAACATACCCTGTGACCAGAGACACCTCCACTTTCCCTCCTATTAACGTATGTCTTTTAAGGAACATTGAGTTTGCTAAAGTGGACAGGAGGCAAAAATCCCAGCCTTTTAATGTTCTTCTCCATAGTGTGTCCTGAAAAATGCTTGACAACGTCCAAGGCTTTCAACACATGGTTCTAGATGTATCATAATGGAGGTGTATAATATGAAACTGTTGGAAGGACGTACTTACCAAATGGGTTATGAGAGTTTGTCTAGAAATTCTGATATCCAGTCAGTGTCATCTTGTCCCAACTCTTGGGATTTGCTTCCCATTTCAGTGATTGATAGCAAGGGGTTAAAGGAACCCCTGCTTCATATTAATCCTCAGGTACACTAGGCTTTCTCATTATTTACTATTATTTATTGACATAATTCCAAAGCTCAAAATATTTTATTACACATATATTTGAACACATGATTCATAATTGTATAGTATAGAAAATAAACTTTTTGGTATTTATCCTCAGCATTTCATGATGCAAAATTATTGACAAATATCTTTAGAAAAATAATAAAATAGTCCTTCAGTATTAAAATTCTTATTAAAAAACATTAGATTAAGGGGAGGACATCATCAATGCATCATCAATGCATAGATGAGTTAGGCATGAATGAAATGAGTTGCCCTGGCTTTATCAACAAGTCAAAATATTCCATAGCCCATCTCTTATAATAAATGAAAACATTTGGAATCTGAAGGTCACAGTTTGTCCTAGGTCAATTGCGCAACATAAAATGCATTCACACTTCCTCATTATTCGGCAGTTTCTCATGATGGAACATGTCAAACAATGTACATCCAGTACAGAAGCGCCACTCTGCATACTTACCAGGTGATTTGTATGCCCCTTTGTTGAATGCAGATTAATATATTTGGGCTTTTTATTGCTTGAGTAGAAAGTGCTCATTACTTATCATTTTACGTTTATCATATAGAAAATTAAAAACCAACAAAAAGTTTTCTTAAGTGGCAGCCATCACACTGTGGTAGTGGTAGATTTTCTCAAGATGGTCTTCTGCGGTTTGGGTGCAGTGGGGGGAGGCACGGCTGCGGGAGTGGGAGGGGGGAAGCTGTTACTGTGGCTTATTCCCAGTCCCCCATTTTCTAGCGGGAAAGTGGGGAGGTGAGGTGGAGGAGGGAAGGGAGGGCCTTGGTGAGGGAGCTTTCCCGGTGGATGGACTGGTTCACTGTGCAAATGGACCTCCCTATTTTTTATGTTATGCCGGGTCTCACAGTCAGGACAGTAGCCATGGTATTGTACTTTTTCGTTGAACCTCACTCGTTCCCGAGGCCCTGCTTGGGGACTCCTGTCCTTTTCAGGTCTGTGTATCAGAGTCTGCACTGGAGCCTTGTCCAAGTTACTATTGGGTATGCAGCAGAAGTCTCCATTTGGAATTTTGTTGGGTCTGCCCGGTAAGCCTCCATTCCGTAGAAGGGTGCCGTTGGTCTTTACAGGATTGACGGCTGGCACCACCCTTTGAGGCTCTTCACACCTCACTGGTGTCAACCTTGGAGGAGGTGGTGGTGGGTTTGGCTTTCTCAGAACCGTGAGGATAGCAGATGGGTGCGCTGGAGCTTTAATGAGTGGGGCGTTGGCCTGCACTTTGATCTTCTCTATGCTGGAAGCTGTTGTGCCGCTGGAGCTACTGTTCAGAGTGTCTGTTTTGGAGCTGTCAGTCATCTCATCCTCCAGCTGTAGGTCAGAAGTCAAGGTATCAATCTGGTCAACCACCTGGTGGAAAGGACAAGGTAATGGTGTTGAAGAGCAACCGGAAGCACAATACACACAAAACTATTCTATTCTAGCCAGCTTTGACGCTTTACGTAAGCCCTGGCTGGTAACTCCAATGCTACCTAAAGACTTTCGTCAACAAATCTAGAGAGAGTAACCATCACACAAAGTACCAACTGTTTGAAATCAAAACCTCATAAACCTAGAGTCTGATATGCTATTTTTCTGCTTGGCTTTGCTATCAAAACCCAAGGTAGAATTCAGATGCAAAAATATGGCCAATATTTAAAAATAAAAAGGTGAAATTTCACATCTGGTTTAGCATTTAGAAAGTTACAAAGCATCATTTCCATGCTGAGAAATAATCTGAACAATTTGGATAATATATGGGCTTTTAATAAGATAACTGTCCTTTCTTAGCCCCTGTGGTGATTTGAATGAAAATGGCCCCCATAAGCCCATAGAGAGTGGAACACTTAGGAGGTGTGTCCTTGTTGAAGTACATATGGAATTGTTGGAGAATGTATCATTGTGGGTAGCTTTGAGGTCTCAGATGCTCATGCCAGGTCCAGTGTCTCTCTCTCTTCCTGCTGCCTGCAGATCCAGATGTAGAACTCCCTGCTATCTATCAAGCACCACATCTGCCTACATGCGGCCATGCTTCCTGTCATGATGATAATGGACTAAACCTCTGAACTGTAAGCCATCCCCAATTAAGTGTTTCCTTTATAGAAGTCACCATGGTCATGGTGTCCCTTCACTGCAATAGAAAACATAACTAAGACAGCCCCCCAAACATGTTAAGGACAGCCAAATGAGGCTCAGAATAAAATCTTAAGCTCCAATAAAACATTTTGTGATATTTGTGACTTGTGTTTATTACTTCATCATGCAGTTCTTTGTAGATGACACAGTTTTGTCTCAATTCAAAAAGTTCTAGACTACAACTTCACTTGTAACTTTAAAAAAATCTTTCAGGTCTTTTAAACTCTCATGATTATCAATTCATTTCCTGACACAAAACATTATTACACAGTACTAGTTCTTCATGAAATCCTCCACCCCCAAATCAGTACCCACAAATCTAAAAAAAAATCTTAGTTCAGGAGTCAATTTTCATGTAAAACTTTCCACTCCTCCTGTAACTGTAGGTCACATTAATTTATTAAATACTTACAAATAATTGTATTTCTTTCACTCAAAGGATTCATATAATTTTGAATTGCATGTTAAGAAGCAACATGCACTGAAATACTATTTTCCATGTGGACCCTGCCCATTTGTGCAGGTCTTTGATTATTCTTCCTTGTAGCATTCTAAGTAATGAATGGTATCTATGGGGTCTCAGAAAATATTTGTTAATAAATGCTATGAAGATTGTTTCTTTAGGTTTCTTTCCCTCTGATTGCTACTTGTGACATAATTTTAGAACTTGCTCAATTACTCTAAGAGAAATGTTCTAAAGGAAGCTTACTCAAAAAGTATCATAAGGCTACTGACATGTTCTCTAGTTCTTAGTCAGATATGTAGAAATTTCAGTTATGGGAGGACTAATAGATGTAAGAGTTAAGGAAAATATCTTGACTCATTATGGCTGTAGTCTATTTTCCCTGGGAAGATAACTACTCCTAGCCTTTAGTCTACTAAATTTCCACAGCAAAATAAAACCTCATCTATTGTGAAAAACATGCAGCTGATGGAAAAATACTGGGACAAGCCTGGAGGTTTGATAATTCTTAACTGATCTTTATATCAGCAGTATCATTTCTGCATGTCTATTAATGCAAAAGTAATAAAATGCAGAAAACAATACTGCTTTCATAGAGCAAGCCACCTAGTGGGACTGCCTGACATCAGCATGATCTTAAAGGTCTTAGACTAGGAACAGTGGAAGCATGACTTCCAAGTGTTCAACAGCATGTTAGATGTTACAGCGGGACTAAGACCCTTTGCAATAAGTGGGTGCAACCCTCCTGAGACTTGAGATCTATTTGGCAGAAGAGCAATGGTTCAAGCATGTCTTCAGAGAGAGCTGATGAAAAGAACACATCATGGGTGCTTGAAAGGAGACCTTACTGATGAAGGGCGCTATGAGACAGGAGGTGGAGAGCAAGCTAGCTGCTACACTGTGAGAGTGTTGCAATAAAGTGCCACATGTTTCAAAATCAGCTCCAGAAGTGAGAGAAGCAGGATTCACAGAGACAATGTGTTAACATATATTTTTATAACAGAAGTGCATTCTAGCTAAATTACATAGAGTTTCAAAGAGGAATATATAAATTCTTTCACAACATACCACAGCGAAAGTACAGGACACAGAAAAAGAATTACAAAACATTTAGGATAACAAAAAGGCATCAGAATTATAGAACATCAAAAATTAGGAAAAATGTAGCATGAAAGGACTATTCGTGGGGAGTGGGAGACCCGGTAGGAGCAAAGAAGGGGATAAGAGATGAAATAAAGAGTACATATGAGAAAAATACAATGGAATGTATTTGAAAATAATATAATGAAATCTATTGTTTTGCATATTAACATTAATAAATTATAAATTGGCAGGCATCAGATGTTTACACAATTACAAATACCTCAAGACAATTTAGAATTGTATGTCATATTGAATGAAAACCACTGGAATTTTATTATAGCATAATTTAATTTTAAACTGAGAGGAGTGGGCATGTTCCTTTACTGAAGAGTAGATTATACTGAGGAGGCTGGTGTTTATACTAGCAGCAGACACACTCATGTCTTTCATAAACAAACATCATGGTCTCAATATAAACTTAGGTAATTAAATGAATGAAAAAATTCCAAATTCATTTCCATCAAAGAACACCCACAAACATAAGAAAATAGGGGTATGGAAGCTGATAAGTGACAGTGATTTCCTTAAGATGCACATATAATTTATTAGGAATATAAACCCTCAATCTTTATAGAAATTTAAAATACATAAACTAAAGAAAAAGGATATAGACTTTAATGCCAATGGCTTAGTCAGGGAGAATACTTTTTTTTTGTTCTTTCTTAATATTTGTTTACTTATTCCTTGTGTCTTTCACATCATGCCTGCTAATTTCACTTGCCCCCACCATAAATAAAACAAGATAAAATTGAAAAGAAAAACATGGGGGGAAAGAAAGAAGGTGAAAATCTTATCATGGAAGCTGCAATGTGGCACAGACACCAAGTAAACCCCATTATCCATACATTTTTACATGTAGGCATTCATCACAAAGAATCTCTGGTCTTTGTTGCACCATCCATGCTGGGCCCTCACTGGGCCTCTTCTTGTACATTCCATTGCTGCCCTGTCTTGGAGATCCAGCAGCCCAGCGTCCACAGAACTGATACCACCTGTCTCTCCACTCCCTGTGTTCAAATAGATTGCAGATGAGGTGGATTTTGGGGTGGGCCAATCAGAAACCTGGTTCTGGGCCTGGGTAATTATTGCAGAGTTCTTTAGCCCACCAGTTTTCCCCTGTTCTCATCACCAGGATGAGCTCCCAGCATTGATTGCCCTAGCTAGTTCATTCCTTTCAGCCATGAGCAAATGAGCAAGGGGCAGGGCTGGCTCTCTGTCTTTCTTGTCCTCGGGATGGTTCTTCCACTTCTACACCTGCAGGGCCAGCTCTGCTGTATTGCTCAGGTGAGGAGCAGCTGCCTCTGCCCTGAGTGCTGCAGCTGATGAGGGGCAGGAGTAGCTCAAGAATGCAGTTTTTAATGGAAATTGTTGGTTGGGATTTGAGTGAATGAGAAATTTGTATATTGCTAACACAGATATAAAATCACATTGCAAGGTTGTTATGAACACCTTACAAACTAGGCAAGGTACAGCTCTTTTTATGAACAAACTTCAGCCTACTCCAAGAAAACTAATATGTTTATAGGCATGGAACCCCATAATGGTTTTCTTTGTAGGATTTTTGTTTGTTTCTTTTGGCTTGTTAAAGTTCAAAACATATACATAAGCAAATAACTATAAATAAAAGACTAGTAATAGGCTAAATGTCCATTACTCAGTGGCTGAGGAGGTAAACATAGAGTAGAATAAATGGATTCACTAAGCGAAGCTAACAAAATTGCAGAAAAGAGTTTCTGTTTGTAAGAAGCTGGGAATAAGAGGAGTCAGGGCAACAAAACAAAACACCAAATTGGAAGAAAGAGAGAATGACCTCTGGGAACCAATATAGGTGTGATTGGAAGGATGGAGGCGATAGCTCATTTGGTAAAATGTTTCTTACACAAGCATCATGTTTTTAATGCAATCCCTCAGAAACCAACCCACATATAAAATCTGACCATCCAGTCTAGCTGAATTATGTGAGAGAAACTATCTCAAGAAATAAGACACAGAGTAATTGATGAGACACCTGATATTTACCTTTGGCCTCCACACAAATAAAAATACACACCCACATATGTGTATACATACATGAACATGTGAGCACACAGGCACACAAGTGATGGGAAACCTAAAAGTGCTGAGATTCCCAAAGGTCACCCGACGTAACATGATTTAGCACCAAGAAAATAATGTTGCTAGGATAGTAATACTACAGAAAGACAGCCCACAGATTTAAATTAACCCCACATCTAATTACCAGTAAAACTCTTCACAGATGTAGAAAAACAGTCCTACAATTCATGTGAAAACTCAAATGTCTGTGATTATCCAAAGCAATGCTGAGCAAAATCAACAACACAGGATAGCAGAAATGCCTTATTTCTAAGTGCACTACCGAGTTGCGGCAAAGCATACAGTAACATATTAGAACAAAGTAGACACAGAGAGCAGTGAAATAGTATCCAGAAAATAAATCTGTAGATTTGTTCTTTACCGAAGATGCCATAAATAAGCCTCCTAACCCTAAAGATATCATACTATACTCATAGATTGGTGCCCAACTGTTATTAGAGAGGCTTCATCCAGCACTGATGGAAATAGATCCAGAGACCCACAAGCCAAACATTAGAAACAGCTTGGGAAATTC